GATGGCCCTTGTGGCCTCTTCCAACTCTATGATTCTATGATTCTAAGTAGAAAGAGAGGAAGGCCACATGCTGGATGGATGGACTTCTAGATGGAAGAGACTACAAATATGAGTTTGCAGGAGCTGGGCAGAGCAGTAGAGGACAGGGGGCCTGGAGATGTCTCATCCACAGGGTCACCATGGGTCGAGATCGATGCAAAGGCAGTGAACAAACAAAAGAAGGGGGAACTTCAGGAGGTATTGCAGCTTGTCACACAACCATGTGACAAGAAACACATGTTGAAATTCCCTCACTAAAGGGGCAGGAGCATGACTTGACTGTATGCCACCAAAACATTTTAGAATAAGAGGGTGGAATAGAAAATTTTGCAGCTAAGCTGGTGTAATGCTGGATGGCTGCAGCATTTATAGCATGATTTGCCATGGGCACTATTAAAGAGAATGTTAAAATTGAACAGGGTTTCCAGACCCTTCGCCATTTTAGTCACCCTTCTTTGGACACGCTCCAGTTTCTCCACATCTTTTTTGAATTGTGGTGCCCAGAACTGGACACAGTATTCCAGGTGGGGCCTGACCAAAGCAGAATATAGTGACACTATTACTTCAGTTAATCTAGACACTATACATCTATTGATTCAGCCTAAAATTGCATTGGCCTTTTTAGTTGTCGCATCACACTGTTGACTCATGTTCAACTTGTGGTCTACTAGGGCTCCTAGATCCCTTTCACACATAGGAGTTTATCACACGGGGAGCCCTTTAAAGTAAAAAAACAAACCGCAAAAGTGGAAGCTTTTAATGAACGGGATTTCTCCCTGTGTGAAAAGTAAAAGCGCTGTTAATGGGGAGGTTTTTCCGAAAGTAAAAAGAAGCATAAATGAGGGGTTTTTGTTCGGATTAACCTCCTTTTAACATCAATTTAACAGCGACGTTGTGTGAAATCATGACCGCTTTTGTGTTTTTTTTCTAATTTAAAGCAGCGATTTTGCACGGGATTTCCCCGTGTGAAAAACACCATAGTCACATTAAGTAAGGAGTCCCCCATCTTCTATCTATGCATTTCATTTTTCCGCCCTAAGTGTTGACATTCACTTTATTAGCTTTGGCCCAGCTGTAATGATGATGATAATAATAATAATAATAATAATAATAATAATAATAATAATAAATTTTTATTTATATCCCACCCCTCTGCATGGCAATCGGGGTGGGGAACAACAATATTTAGAACAGAACAAAGTTAAAAACATTCCCTCATCCCACAATCCCATCCTCC